CAGCAGATTCTTTACAGTATAAGCTAGAAAATGATGAAGAGCCAATGTCTGGTGAATGAGAAAAAGTGAAAGTGATTTAGGCTTTCAGTAATTATTCAGCTGGTAACATCTTTTCTCCAGGTTATTGAAGATGAAAATTTATAGCTTTTCTTTCTTTTGTTGTAGGCAGTTCATGGCATGTTTACATCTCCTAGTAAACCATACATCCAGCTAAAAACAAGAGATGAAAATATAAAGGTAATGCCTAAAACTCGCTTGATAAGTACAATGTAATTAGACTCTCTTGCTCTTGATATGTACATATTAACTACTTTTTTTTTGTCTAGGTGGATCACCTTTTGCATTGGTGGTTAGTGGCAACAAACAACAGAAGGAATTTAGCTATATGGTAATCTCTTATAGAATATGTTTATGATCTATTTTACAATTATCTTATGATGTCCACCTTATGCCTACACTTAACTTACTATTTTTAACACTATATCCTGTGTTTTTTGCACCACAATTAAATATCTTTTTTCTTTCTTCACCTATACATGCATTTTCAATTTAAAATAGATAATTAAAAATTATACTATGTTTAAAATTTAAATTTCTGTTAGATAGACAGCATAGATTCATTGTGGAAAATCATAAAATGTAAGAAAGGGAAAATAATAACTACCACCATGGACAATTTTGCTAATTCAGTTCTCCCAGTGGAGCTTTGTATTCTTCTCAATCACAAATAGGGTTTTTTTCCAACAGAAAGAAAGGAATGTTTGAAGGACTGGATATGCCAATTACCTTAATCTGAGCATTACACATTAAATACGTGTATTGAAATGTTATATTATATCCCATAAGTATGCACAAGTATTATGTGTCATCAAAAATTAAGAACAGAAGAGAAATCAGAATTGAGAATTTAAAAATAATGATTTTTAAAAAACATCTAATCAGAATTGCTTTAATCTTACCATTTTCTGTTTCCTAGCTTAAACTCTCTATATTGTCAAGAAGGCTTTTCTAGCTTTCAAATGGTTTGAAACTTCTTTAAATCAAGAATTTGTGTATATGCATAAAATTATGATAAATATAACTTCAATTGAGATCCTACTAGCTTTAGCAAAAAATTAAACTCATCCACTATTTTTTTTAGGTAGTGTCCAGGGGACAGTTGGTGGCTGTTGGCAAACAAAATTCAACAACCTTCTCTTTAACACTAGAAAATTCTTGGGCTCCATAGGCCTGTGTAATAGTGTATTATTATTATTTTTTTATTATTCATATGTGCATACAATGCATGGGTCATTTCTCCCCCTGCCCCCACCCCCTCCCTTGCCACCCACCCCGTCCCCTCCCTCTTCCCCCACCCCCTCGATACCCAGCAGAAACTATTTTGCCCTTATTTCTAATTTTGTTGTAGAGAGAGTATAAGCAATAATAGGAAGGAACAAGGGTTTTTGCTGGTTGAGATAAGGATAGCTATACAGGGAGTTGACACACATTAATTTCCTGTGCATGTGTGTTACCTTCTAGGTTAATTCTTTTTGATCTAACCTTTTCTGTAGTTCCTGGTCCCCTTTTCCTATTGGCCTCAGTTGCTTTTAAGGTATCTGCTTTAGTTTCTCTGCATTGAGGGCAACAAATGCTAGCTAATTTTTTAGATGTCTTACCTATCCTCACCCCTCCCTTGTGTGCTTTCGCTTTTATCTTGTGATCAAAGTTCAATCCCCTTGTTGTGTTTGCCCTTGATCTAATGTCCACATATGAGGGAGAACATACGATTTTTGGTCTTTTGGGCTTGGTTTTTCCTTTAATTACCATTTCATCTTCGAGTTCTGAGATTCTGTCTTCTGTTTGTTCTATTCTGCTGGATTGGCCTTCTGTTTTGTTTTGCAATTCTGTTTCTTTCTTTTTTCTGAGGTTTTCCATATCCCGGGTCATTTCCTCTTTAATGTTGTCTATTTTTGTCCTGAGTTCATTTATCTCTTTATTAATCATGTTCTCTATTTCACTTTGGTGTTTATACAGTGCTTCTATGCTTTCCTTTATTTATTCTTTTGCTTTTCAAATTCCATATTTTTGTTGTATTGGAATTTCTTGAGTGTCTCCTGTACATTTTGATTGACCATATCCAGTATCATCTCTATATAATTCTCATTGAGTACCTGTAGTATTTCTTCTTTTAGATTATTCTTGTGGGCTTCATTGGGTTCTTTGGCAGAGTTTATCTTCATTTTGTTTGAGTCTGGATCTGAGTATCTGTTTTCTTCATTTCCCTCTGGTTCCTGTACTAATTTTTTGCTGCGGGGAAACTGGTTTCCCTTTTTTTTTCTGTCTTCCCGTCATTGCCCTTGGTGTTGTTAATGTCCCTTTACTGTGTGCAATTAAGTATTTTCTGGCTTGTAATAATAGCACTAATGATATTTAGAGTGGAATGGTGAGAGGGGATGGAAAGCAAAGGAGTTAAGGGAAAAGTGAAAAACAAATAAACAAGTAGAAAAAAAATAAAACAAAGAAACAAAAAAAGTTTCAAAGAAAGAAACAGGGAGAGACAGTGTACTATTCAACCATAAGCTGAAAAGGCATTAGAGAGACAGAGAGAGGATTGAAAATAAAAAATAAAAAGAATAAAATTAACAAATATGTAAATGAAATAAAAACATATATATATATATATAAAAAACTCCAAGTTCAAATGCAATGAAGTTTCAGTCTTAATAATTTTGGTGTTCCTCCCTTAGCCTCCAAGTTTAGAGATGGTGCCTCAGATGTTATTCTGTAGTTGTCTTATCAAATGGGAAAAATAAAATAGAACAAAACTGCACAAAAAAAAAAAACCCACAAAGTGTCGCAAGTTCAAATGCAATACAGTTTCAGTAAGTTTTCAGCATGCAGGTGTAGTTCGCTTGTTTTCTCTTCGAAGGTAAGGAGAGTGAAGAGAAAAAAAAAAAGAGTCTGGAGACAGTTCTGTGAATGGCTATCTGTGGCTGTGGCTTGCTGCCTGCTGCTGTCAGCCTGGTGTTGCTGGAGGCGTTATTTATGCAAATCTCAGGGGTGAGCTTAGCACTCACCTGGCCCCTCAGGCTTTGTTTACTCAGAGTTCTCCTGTGCATGAGCAGCTGCTACAAGCTTTCCCCTTTCCAAGCACACTGGGAAAGGTGACACTGCACCCGCTTTCTCAGACCTGCGTGTTTACTCGCAGTTCACGTGGGAAGTGGGTCTTCCCCCCTCTCCTGTGGAGTTTTCCTCCCACTGCCGCTTTTACAAGCTTTCCCGCTCCTGGTTGCTGGACGTGTGCCACTGCTCCTGCCCTCTCCGGCCAGGCCTGGCTTATTTATTTACAGTTCTGTGAGGGATTCCCCTCCCCACCTCTTCGGCGCTCAGCGTGCTCCACCCTCTTTGCTATGTCTCTTTCTTGTTCTTATTGCTTATTACTAGTTTCTCTTTTTTTCCCTGGGTGGGGGTCTGTCTGTCCAGGGGGCTATGCTGATCTGGCCCAGGGTTGTCTGTGGGAGTACCGCGTACCACTTAGCTCACCTTGTGGTCCGCGTCTTCCCAAGTCGTCTAGGCGCGGGTGTCTGGCAGCAGCCCGGGGGCCCTCCTGGTTTCTCCATTCAACATGAAGTGGAGATGCTCTGCGCAGGCTGGAGGTGTGGAGGGGTCAAGGTTTTGCCTATTCTCGGTGGCCTTGCCTGCAAGGTGTGTCTCCAGTATCTCCCCAAGATTTCACTTTAGGAGGTACGCTTTCTGCTTCCTCCCTTTAGCTGCCATCTTGGAATCCCAATCAATAGTGTATTATGTTGAAGATGATGGGGAAATTATAAATGATGTTCTAAAAATCCCTGTTCAACTTGTTTTTAAAACAAGGTAAGATTTAAAGTAATGACATTTAAAAGGGAGCTATATTAGTAAAGTCTGAGAACTGTAATATTTCTTTACAAAAGTATAATTAAACCATATACTTAGAGATTTATATTATTCATATATATATAATGATTGGGCCCAGGTCTTAATTGTAGTAAGTGGTTCTTGGTTTTAAGACCGTAACTCAAATCTATGAAGCGTTTTCAGGCTTTTTCAAATAGTTGGGTCAGTATTGCTCTGGCATGGAATTCCAGTGAAACAGAACTGGTGTGGTGTTGGTATTGACATGAGAGTGTGGGAGGGAATGAGGCCATCTGAGATGCTTGTGGAAGGAGAGATGGGCTTTGGTTTATCTGTTTTATCAGCTGGAAACTGAGACAAATTATCAATAAGCTTGGATGCTTTGCATGTGAGGATCTGTGTGGAGTCTGGTATTTAAATGCACCTGTGTTTCTCATCGCCTAAGTAACCAGCTTGTGTAGAAAATCACCTTTCTTGTCAGACCCCAAGTCTGACAAGAAACCTGATCGAGTCATCTCATGTTTATCAGAATGAGCTGTTTTTCTCACTAGAAATTGCTACCTCTCAGGTCCTTTTAAATAAAGGGATCATTTGTTTTAAAGTAGTGACATGTACTGTATGATGTTACTAATATTTCTTTTTCTTTAATTTGTTAAAGTGTTGAGTAGAGTAGTTTTCTTTTTTTTTTAATTGTTTTATTATTCATATGTGCATACAAGGCTTGGGTCATTTCTCCCCCCTGCCCCCACCCCCTCCCTTACCACCCACTCTACCCCCTCTTTCTCCCCCCCACCCCCTCGATACCCAGCATAAACTATTTTGCCCTTGTTTCTAATTTCGTTGAAGAGAGAGTATAAGCCATAATAGGAAGGAACAAGTGTTTTTGCTGGTTCTATGCTTTCTTTTGTTGAGAATTGTTAACCTGTTCTTTGTTGTTTTTTGTGGTGCTGGGGACTGAATCTAGGGTTTTGCACATGCTGGCAAGCATTCTACCACTAAGCTGGATGCCCAACTATTGTGTTAACCTTAATTTTGATTCAAATTAAAATATAATGGAAACTTGTATTTTTCATGTAATGAGAAGAGTTTTAAAAAGTCACTATATTTTGTTAGTTTCAGAACACAGTTTTTCATTTTTAGTGATTAGAATAATCACCTGATAAAGGTGAATTTTAAAGTAGGAGTCATAGAAGCTTAAGCAAGGAAGCATACGTCTATGAGAGTGAGATCAGATTGTAAAGCTAGTAACAGTGTGCAGGATCATTGACACTGAGCAAGCCAACTGTGCTAACAGCATATTCTCAAGACATTTTTAGCTGTATAAGAATTAGTTTCAATTCTACTTCAAAGATACCTTGTTCTAATTTTTATTCAAAACTAATCATATTTACAAAGTAACAACCTAAATGTAAAATAGGATGTGTTTTAAGCAAAACAATTGTGAACAGTTAATTAAAAAGAAAATTAGTGACTTTGTTGATGTTATAATGACTATGGAATAAAATGAATGAGGTGTAGAAGGGCCAAGAGATTGCGATGTAGAAGTCACCTACACAGAAATGCAAGCTGGAGCCAGGGGGTCTCTGAGGCCAGAGTGTGTGGTGAGAACTGAGACTGAGTCGTGAACATGCTGTACCCCTCCCTGTTGGGAGTGTGGATGAAGAAGGTAAGCTAGATAAAGTGCTTGATAGGTGTTTCAGAGAAAAATTGCAGTGGTCCAGTTAAGCAGGAAAGGACGACTTTATTCATGACAGTACAATAGAAGAGAAATTGAGGACTGAAGGTGTGGCTCAAGTGGTTGAGCACCTCTTTTGCAAGCACAAAGTCCTGAGTTCAAACCCTAGTCCCACAAAAAATAAAAAGTAAAAAAAGAAAAAGTGATGGGAGATTGAACGCAAGTGTGCTGAGACAAAAGGCAGGAGGGTATGAAAGCTCTGGGGTGAGTTAACGTCCATGCTGGAGGACATTGTGGGGAGTTTGTTCAATGTGGTCAGTCCTCTGTGTTTGTGAATCAAGGCTTATTGAACTTAGGCCTCCTCAGAGACTGGGAAAACAGCTCTATCTTTCTTGATGGTTACACGTCAAGGAGCATTGCTCCCATATTCTTGGGAAAGACATTTCTGGGCTTTAAAACTGGCAAGAAGCTGGGAGAAGATTAGCATCTCAAGGGGGCAGAGAAAGACTGTGCAATTTCATGTTTTCTAAAGTAAATGCTCTAAGGAAAGGGAGGTCAGGGGATGCAGCCAGGGAGAAGTTCACGTTAAGTTTCGTCAAATTCAGGGGAACTTTAAGACCATGTTGGTCAGGTAGTTCAGTCACTGGTTCAGGGAACTGTTAGATAGAGCTGCATGGAAAGAAAGTCCTCCATAGGAAGGGAGCTCATGACAAAGTCCTTTGGTTCAGTAGTGAAATGATCGATGGTCTTTATGAAGTATTAGTAGGATGATGCATTGATGAATGTAATGACCACAAGTTCAGGCAGCCAGGGAGACATACAGCAGGGAGCCTGACTAGTGTTTTGTCTGACCACTCCCTCCTTAGAAAGAACTCCCCTCACCCCACACCCCATGTAGTGCTGTGAGCCCCCAGGGAGCTCTCCTTGTATTCATTCCTAAGTCAAAGTCACCAACACCTGCAGTTTCTTTCCATTTCTGAGCTCTTTCTCTTGAAGTCTAGCCTTCCCCACATGTGCTAGACATGTCTATTTTCTGTTCATCACTGGCTGGGGACCAAGAGATGAGAGTGGAGAGAGGGAAGAGAAAAGGTAGAGAAGTGAAGGAAAATTCAGATTTATACAACCATGAGATGTTTCATGACTTGGAAACACATGAAAGTGAAATTTTTTTCCATTCCTTTCCTCAGAGAAGGGTTATTTATACTTTTTAAATGTTCCAAGACAAATGTAGAATCTGTTAGCTTTTGAGTCATTGATTTGGTATTGATAAGATATGAAAATAATACTTTTAAAAAGTGAAATAAATGCTGATTTCTCTCTTTCTTAGATAAAGCTATTTTGGAGTAAAGTTAATCCTGAATGATCTGAGTAAGTTTCTCTGAGGATCTCTGTGATACAGCCTGACTCCTTAGTTGGGATTGTAGCTGGTGACAAAATTGTGAATCTGATGAATCCCTCAAAGGACATTAAATGGAAAATGTGAGTTTAGCTTTATTACTTATAAAAATACCTATTAAATGAGAAAAAAACCTATTGCATTACTTTAAATATTTAAAGGAAGTCCATTGCAAAAGCCAACGAAGAGCAGATCGTCCAAATAAAAATGAATCTGTAAGTCCATTAGTTATGTTGGAAGGAAGCTGGTGGCTTCAGACTTCTCTGTTGTCTTACATAAGAAATACCTCCTAAAGCTAGGTAGGAAGAATATGTTCTGGAGGGTTAGTGTACAGCATGGTGGCAGTAGTTAATCGTGTACTGTGTGCTTAAAATTGCCAAGAGGGAAGATTTTAAATGTTCTAATAACAAGAGATGGTAAAAATGTGAGGGGATGGATATGTTAATTACCTTGATTTAATCATTATGCAATGTATACGTGTATCAACATCATATTGTACCCCAAAATATATGAAATTAAATGAAATACCAGCCAGAGTTTATACTCAGTTTCATACTATATTTTAACTTAAGAAAAAGTACTCAGAAATTATACCTTACAAAGATTGACTATTTTCAAAATGATTAGAGATCACATAGATGTGGAGGAGAAGGAACACTTGGACACTGTTGGTGGAAATGTAAATTAGTTCATCTATTATGCAGAACAATGTGAAGGTTCCTCAAAGGTCAAAAATAGAGCTACAGTATGATTTAACTATCTCACGACTGTGTATACATCCAAAGTAAATGAAATCAGTATGTCAATAGACATCTGCACTGGCACGTTCACTGCAGCACTATTCACAACAGCCAAGAAATAGAAACTACCTCAGTTGTTTAACTGATGAGCAGATAAAGAAAATGTGGTCCATGTACACAATGAATAGTATTCATTCAGCCATAAGAAGAATTAAATCCTCTCATTTGTGGCAACATGGGTAGAAATGGAGGTGATTATATTAAATGAAATAAGCCAGGCATGGAAGAAGAATACCACGTGACCTTACTCATGTGGAATCTAAAAAGTTGACCTCATAGAAGTTGAGAGCAGAATGGTGTTTACAGAAGTGGGGGATGTAGGATGGACAAAGGTGGATCATGGGCACTAAGTTACAGTCTGATAGGAGCAGGGAGCTCTGGTGTGCTTTTTCTCAGCAGGGTGACTACAGATAACAGCAATGTGTTGCATATTTAAGGAGATAGATATGTTTAACTTGATCTAAACATTGTACAGTATATAGAAATATTACATGATACCCCATTAATATGTACAATTTTTTGTTCTCATGTACCAGTTAAAAATTTTTAAAATTGCGTTTATGGGGATCAAACACATAAAAGTGAATTCTTTTAGAAAGAGAAAGTACTAGGAAATTGACTTACACAGTTTTGGATGCCATGGTATAAGAAAGCTTTAGATAATATTGAAGTGCTTCCTATTTTGGTTATACCTATGGCTGTGAATAATTGTAGTCATTTGAGTGTGGTGATACACTAAGAGTGAGACTTTTACACATTTTGTTTTCTTTTGTCCTTTGGTTTTTTGAGACAGGTTCTTGCTGTATAATCCAGGCTGTCCCCAACATCACAATTTTCCTGTCTCACCCTTTCACATGGTAGGATTATAGGATGTACTGCCATGCCTAGATTTTAGCCTGTTTCACCCAGTCTTCTTAGAAGTGAGTACTGTTCTTAAAGAAGTAACATTGGGTTGAGTGCAAGTGACTCACACCTTTAATCCTAGAGGTCAGGAGGATTGTGATTCAAAGCCAGCCTAGGCAAATAATTCATGACATGCTATCTTGAAAAAAACCCATCATAAGAAAGGGCTACTGGAGTGGCTCAAGGTGTATGCCCTGACTTCCAACCCGAGGACTGAAAAGAAAAAAAAAGAAAAAGAAAAAGCAACCCCAAAACAAGAACAACAACAAAAAATATTGACAGTGTGACACATTGAAACATCTCATTATTGAAAACTCTTATTTGTTTAATTTGTATTGCAGAACCTTGTTCTGCTTATTAGCAATTTACATTTCCTCCTTTGCAAATTGACTGTTTTAGGGTTTTTTTTAATTTAGGTAACTGAGATCTTATAGAATTGATATTAATCTTCATCCACTTTAGCCATTCACCTCTCACAAGTGGATAGGTCGTATTTACTGTTGATGTATACTTGTTGATCTTGTTAACCAGCAACATTTACATTCTCTCTGGATAAAACTCAAGTCCGTACTTACTTCATGGGCATTCTGGATTTGTGGGCAGAGTAAAAATAAGTTTAAATAAGTAATGTAATTTCTACTGATTGAATCATGAGCAAGCATGTGCATATTCATTACTCTTTGATTTGTGTCCTTTTCACATTTGATAAGCAAGAAGACCAAGTCTAACATAAGTTACTTAAAAGAAATGTGTGAAAAGCAGAACAGGTTACTATGGATGCATTCATGCTGTGTTTGATCTTCTTTGTAGGTGGCCCATGAGTTGCAGGCATCTTGATGAATTCATTTGCTATCTTTCAGGCGTGTTTGGTTTGCTAGATAATTTGAAAAGCTATTGGTGTCTTTTCCTAGTTCAAACACTTTCAGAATGAACGATCATTATGAAATGTGAATTTTTATTGTATGTGTTGCTCAGGTGTACTCTTACATTTGTATTGTCTGAAATGGAGAGAGAATTCTCCCCTCAGTTTGCAGAAGCAAATGAAACATTCATCATTAGAGAGGTTAAGGAATTGCCATTAATGGAATCATGTCTTTTCTTTATATGATTTTTGTTGACTTTGAAATGATTGTTCAAGTGCATGCTTGCACATGTTTGTGAAAAAAAGAGAGAAAGATCGTCAGGGAAAGAATATACAAAAAAGCCCTCAAAAATGAGCAAGGGTGAGTCTAGAGTGTGGGAAGTTTTTGTTATTAGAGAGCATTTAAACTTTGATTTTGATTTTATTATAACATTTTTATTGTCTTGAAACTTTGATTTTTGAAGAAAAGGAAAATTATTTTTCTGGGAGTATGGTCTTTGGATATTGATGGATGCAAACCTTGTAAAGCATTGTATTGATGGTGTTTGTAACTAAAGCCTGGCAAGAAGTTTGTAAAATTTCTTCTCTTTCTCCTTCTCCTTTTCTTCCCCTTTTCTTGGTGCCCGGGATTGAACCCAGGACCCTGTGTGTATGGCAGGGAAGCACTCTCCCATTGAGCTACATCCCCAGTAGTGTGAATACTTTCTGGTTGAACATGAAGATTTGGATATGTGGAATTTAATTACTTGGAAGAACATCTAGGCCATGACATGGAATTTTCACCTGGGGTCCTTTCTAAATCATTGAAATGATTGCTCTCAATTGGTTTTCTGTGATTCTTTTTCTTTGTTTGTTTTTTGAGGTGCTGTGGCAGGAAGTGAGCACCTTGTACTTGCTGGGCGAGCACTGTATCACTTGAATCATGCCCAGTCCTATTTTCTGAAATTCTTTGATGTGGTTATATTTTGGACATTTGGGAAGATTGTGTGGCTGAAATTTATATTGCAAACTATGCTGTTATTTTGGAATGAATTAAAAAGAGCCACATGTTTTCGAAACTGCATACAACATGAAAGTTTTTTGTAGCCATACTCTTTTAATCAGATTTTGTGTAAAGTTTGGTGTTCTCTGGGTAATGGAGCTTCTCCATATTTCTATCATCACCTTTATTTCACATCAGAATTTTCTATTTACCCTCTCCATAGACTATGAATAGATGTCATCAGATTCATCTTTGTATCATTGGCCATTATACTGCAGCCTGCTTTTCTTTACATTTTATTTTGAGGTAATTTTAGAGTTACAGAAAAGTTGAAAAAATGGAGATAGATGATCCAAAGTGTGTATGGCCACATGACTTTTTAAATTATAGAATCCAGTAAGTGGATGATTGTTGCATCTACAGGTGGCATAGCCAATGGTAATCAGCAGGAAGGTGCTAAAAAGAGGAGAGTCAAAAAATTGCAGAACTTTGACAATGTGCTTTAACTTTGAACATTCACGGCTCAAAAAATACATGGCACAAATGGTGGAGTGCTTCCCTTCCAAGTGCAAGGCCCTGAATTCAAACCCCAGCATGACAAAAAAAATCAAATTAAAAATTTTAAAGATAGGGAATGTAAGTGGCTTTTCAGTTATTGGTCATAGGGGCAGGGGACACTTAAAAATTATTTCTGGCTGGGAAGTCACTGCTCATATGCTTTTTGGTAAGTCACTTGAGTTCTCTGCCTCCATCTGTAATAGGAGAGGGTCGGACAAATTCTAAAACACCCACTCAGCTGAGAGGTGCTAGGATTCTGTAAACCACAGTACAGTTCATTCTGTCCAATGACTGTTTTCCTAACCATGTACCCTGTTCATTTTCAGATGACACTGCAGAGTATGCCGAGAGGTTTGTGGATGAACATGATGGATATCTGGTAGATATTCATGACTTTTCTTCAGTTAGCAATGCATGTGTCAGAAAGCATTTTCCCGAGACTTGGATTTGGCTAACACAAACATGGCATAAAAATTTACAAAGTTCTTTTTTCATATAGGTTTTTCTTAGTGTATTTCAAAGTAGATTTTGCCCTCTTTCTAATGCTTAAGTAGTAATATAATGTGAACTTGAACTAAGTAGGCTAACAAGATTTTGTTTCAGAATGATGTTGTTTAAATGATGTTTATTAAATGTTTTATTTAATAAAACCAAGTGCAGACTGTGGAAGAAGAGTTTCACCAGAGACAAGATAGGCCTATTTTTTTCTCACTCATTTTTTTCTTTATTCCTTTATTCACATGTGCATACATTGTTTGGGCCATTTCAGCCCCCTGCCTCCCACCCCCTCCCTTTCTCCACCCTACCTCCCCTCTCTTCTAGGCAGAACCTGTTCTGCCCTTTTCTCCAATTTTGTTGAAGAGTAGACATAAGCAATAATAAGCAAGACATAGCTTTTTTGCTAGTTGAGATAAGGATAGCTATACAGAGAGATCCTAGCATTGCTTCCACGCACAAATGTATTACAACCCAAATTGTTTGATCTCTACCAGACCTCTTCACTACTTCCAGGTGACCTTCCCATATTGACCTCTGCCATTTTAAGGTTACTGTATTATTAGCTTCTCTGCAATGGGGACATCAACCACTTTCATGTTTGGGGTTTCCTACCTTTCCCTATTCCTCCTGTATGTGTCCTTCCCTTAGTGTGGGTTCCATGTCTAATAATATTACCACATTTGTTTTAGATCTAAAGACCACATATGAGGGAGAACATACATTTTTGGCTTTCTGAGTCTGGTTAACTTGGGTTAATGTTCCACCTCGTCCGGATCTGCTCTCACCCATCATGATGCATGTTGCCGAGTGGGAGGAAGTGACCATGGTCTTGTGGTGAGTGGCGTGTAATACACATCATACATAATACTGATAACAAATTTGAAATGACTGATTAAGTGCATGCTTGCACATGTTTCTGAATGAAAGAGAGACAGATCCAGAGAGAGAGAATATACAAAAAAGCCCTCCAAAATGAGGAAGAGTGAGTGCAGAGTGTGGGAGGTTTCCATGAGTAGAGAGCATTTAAACTTCAATTTTTATTTTATTTCAACATTTTTATTGCCTTGAAACTTTGATTTTGGAAGATAATGAAAATTGTTTTTCTGGGACTGTGGTGTTTGGGTATTGATGGATGCAAACCTTATAAAGCATTGTATTGATGTTGTTTGTAACTAAAGCCTGGCAAAATGTTTGTAAACTTTCTTCTCTTTCTCCTCCTCCTCCTCTTCCCCTTTTCTTTTCTTGGTGCCCGTGATTGAACCCAGGACCCTGGGCTTAGAGGGAAGCACTCTCCCATTGAGCCACATCCCCAGCAGTGTGAATACTTTCTGGTTGAACATGAAGATTTGGATATGTGGAATTTAATGAACTTGGAAGAACATCTAGGCCATGACATGGAATTTTCACCTGGGCTCCTCTCTAGATCATTGATATGATTGCTCTCTATTTGTTTTCTGTCATTCTTTTTCTTTCTTTTCTTATTGAGGTGCTGTGGCAGGAAGTGAGTACCTTGTCCTTGCTGGGCAAGCACTGTAACACTTGAACCATGCCCAGTCCTGTTCTCTAGTTATATTTTGGACATTTTGGAAGATTGTGTGCCTCCAATTTGTATTGAAACTATGCTGTTATTTTGGAATCAATTAAAAGCAGCCAATGTTTTTGAAACTGCATGCAACATGAAAGTGTTTCCTAGCCATATCCCTTTTAATCAGATTTTGTGTAAAGTTTGGTGTTCTCTTGTTAATAGAGCTTCTGCATATATCTATCATCACCTTTATTGCTTATCAGAATTCTCCATTCGCCCTCTCCATAGACTATGAATAGAGGTCATTGTGTTCATTTTTATATCATTGGCCATTGTACTACAGCCTAATTTTCTTTATATTTTATTTGGAGATAATTTTAGAGTTACAGAAAAGTTGAAAAAATGGAGATAGATGATCCAAAGTGTGTATGGCCACATGACTTTTTAAGTTATAAAATCTAGGAAAGTGGATGATTGTAACATCTATGGGTGGCATAGACAAGGGTAATCAGCAAGAAGGTGCTAAGAAGAGGAGAGTTGAAAAATTGCAGTTAACTTTAGTAATGTGATTTAACTTTAAAATTCATGCCTCAAAAAATGCGTGCCTATTGTGAATTGTGATGCATTAAACACGGAGGTGCAGGTGCCTTTGGAGTAAAGTGAGTCACATTCTTTGGGCATATCCCTAGTTGTGGGATTGCTGGATCACATGTCAGATCTATTCTTAGTTTTTAAAGAAACCTCCATATTGTTCTCCAGAGTGTTTGTACTAGCTTGCATTCCCACCAGCAGTGTGTGATGGTTCCTTTGTCTCCATATTGTTGCCAACATTTCTTGGTGGTGGTGTATTTGTTCACAACTATTCTAACAGGAGAGGGGTGGATTCTAAAAGTCATGTCGATTTGCATTTAAGATAGACCTTTTTAAGGGAAGGGTGATTTTAATTTCCTTGAGGACTCATGGCTTTCATGGGCAGGAAAATAGTGGGACTACGTTTGTTGTCATGGAGTGGAAACAGTCTCCATCATCTCCTGGACTATGTAGCAGTGCTGCTAAGTGAACCCCACTTCTCAGAACATTCCCATGACCACAGGGAGATGGTGTGTGTGTGGTGGAAGGAATTCAGTTGAGTTCATAAACTCTGTGCCACCTGAGATTTGAGCAGATAATTGGTAAAATCTACATGGAATTTTATAGTTAGCCATGTAGCAACAGATGAAATGAGATGAATCAAATTTCAAAAATATCCCAGCAGTGATAGGAATACAGAGAGAACACTTGATTTTTTGCCAATTGAGAGAACAAAATTGGAGTGAAGTTTGAAAATACGTATTTATTCTCTACCCAACAGTCATGATAATATAGTGGTCATTATGAAGATATAACCATCATAGAAAAATTTTTGTGGAGTAAGGATCAGTACCTGGTATTCTGACCTTACGAACTATTCCTTGAGAATTTGGCATGTACTTTTTTTATGTGCAGTGGTTATGAAATTATATGTATAAATGACATAGAGTATTAAAATTCATCCAAAAACTGTTTTAGGCTTTGTTGACTTATTTTTGAAATGTGTGACAATTGGTTTTATAGTTTTATGTTATCTTGACGTCAGATCCAATATTTACCAAGAATGTGAAGTTGCTGTACCTAATTCTGTCACTCCCTGAGTGGCTACTGCCTTTGTGATCTCTGAAGACTTAGGTCGTAGACTACTAACTGCACCAGTGGAGGTAGGAGCATGTTGAAGTTTTCCCACTGATGTTAGATTGTCATTAAGCTTAGAACATTTCAGCTACTCAATAGATTTTTACAAAACTGATTGCTTATGATGCTTATTATACCTTAGAGATTCATTGGTCTTACCTTTGTTCTGCTTTAAATTTTAGAATTCAAGCATACTAAATTGGTAAATGTGATAGGACCATAATTACATTTGAGTAGAAAAGCTTATCATTGACCTGATGTAAGACCCAATGGCTTGAAGAGGGAGAAAGTGTCCCCATTGTCATTCAAGGACAAGTGGAACTTCTTAAGATGTCCCTCTAGCAGACTTGCTTCTTATGTCGTTGATCAAATGGCACCACATGTTATTGTCTGATTTTTTATTCTTTACTTGTACTTGGGTTCCAACTCGGGGCCTTGTGCTGACTAGGCAGGGACTCTACCACTTGAGTAACATGACTGGCCTTAGTTTTCCAGCTACTAAGAGGAATATAGCACCATGAGTGGCCTTAGACCAACACTCTCACTTGTGTTACATGTCACTATCTAAATAAAAGAGAATGGAAATAAAATAATAAGATTCATATTCAAATCATCTATTTATAACATACTGTTCTGTGAATTAAATTTCTATTAATACTTAATTGAAAGTAAAAAATAATGACGAACATACAAATTAACAGTAGTAATTTAAGCTGAAAATGAGAGAGAAGTGAAAAGTACTTTGAAAAGAGTTCAATATATTGCCGGGTTCCTTCTTGTGGTCCTAGATGTTCAGTAATGGCATTGTTTGAAGGTAGAATTGACCTTGAAGAAGACTCAGTTCTACTTTGAGAATGTGGGTGCAGCAGGGGACATCCAATTCTTGAGGGAAGTTAATTGGTGATAGCCCTGGGTGAATAGACATTTCTCACTGGAAATGGAGGATATGGTGGGCCAGGGGAATCCCTTGGTGTAAAATGATCTGAGGAAGCTGCAGACATCTTGTCTGGAGGAGGTGGTAGAAAAGGTGTGTCTCTTCTCAGAAAATGGCTCCTGAGATCCATTGGGAACACTGCCCTTGGTGGTACAAAATGGTGAGGAGTTCCAAACATACTTCCTGGGAGGGGTGGTGGAATAGGCAGCCCTCTTCTCAGGAAGTGGCTCCTAGGTTCCACTGGGAACAATGGACTTCAGATAGGAGGACCACGACCAGGGCCCACTACTTTGCCTCTGGCAGGGAGGGATAAGTCAAGCCCATTTGAATAATCACAGTCACCAATGGTATCACCTCTAGTAGATTCCTTTTCTGAATCCAAAGGAGGCATATCAAAATTTCTGAGTTCTGCTGGTTCAGGGAATTTACCAGAATGAGAACAAAGTCTGTCTTTCCTCTGTGGAGGAAAAGCTGGATTGGTATTTGGTTGGCCTGATGGAGGGATCATCATCCTGCAGTCCTGTTGGGATGGATGGGACGGTGAGCCAGTCTCAGGAGGTGCTCTATGAGGGCCAGATAAACTGTCACAGGTTGCCTCTCCTCTTTCATTGGTAATGGGATGATGCAGAGGATTCTCCAGACTTCTTGAGCTTTTTCCTCCTTCCTGAGGAAGCCAAGGTGGGGGTCTGAGTGGACCTTCCAACAAAAGCAGAGTGAGAAGAACTTTCCTTTCAGATGAAGGTTGACCCAATGGCGGGGCATCAGGTGAAAAAGGCTCTCTGCCATATGCTGCATGTGAAATATCAAATGGATAAGGATCTTCTACCATTTCAGTTCTAATTGCATTTTAATTAATTTTTGTCTTTCACTGGCATTTACCATTGTAAGATAATTGAGTTGTTTTTGCAGAATTCTGGGCTACCAGCCAATATCAATGAGCTTTTTTCTTATAGTAAAGAGTCTGCTTTTGATAGTAACAAATGATTCTAAGTTTTCTGATCACTCTCTGGCTACATTTTTATAGGTCTCCTGGTCTTCAGCTGCATAACTGATCTTTTCTTATGCTTGGGAACTTTTCTTCTCTGTCTCTAGCCGGCAATGATCCTCTGCCATGAATTTCACACTGTATATCCTTCTCTTTTCTTCATGCAGTTCAGTAGTGTTCTGAAGATTCTGCTGAAGCTTCTGATTCTCCATTCCAAACCTTATCTTCTCTGATTGTAAAAAGGCTTCTCTAGTGTGGAGATTTTTAATCTGCTCTATGAAGTCTTCCCTCATTCTATCTACCTCACCCGAGTATAAATTTGCTTTCCTCCTCCTTCTTAGGATTTTAAAGAAGGATTTAACTTCACCACATATAGCAGTCTCTCCATAGCTCCTCTTGTCTGATTATGAAAGTGAGGACCTTCTCCTGGTCTACTCTCCCTTTGTAATTCACATTTACCATTTTGTGTCATGTCTTCTCCAAGGACAACAACCCACACTTTCATCTTGAGCATCTGTTTGATTTCAGACTTGATGTATTCTTCCTTTATGTTTTAAAAGTTGTTTTACATGTGCCAATGTGTCAACTGCCATCTTCTGATTCTTCAGTTCACTTACTCATTCCTTCCACACTTCTGCTTCTTCTGAAAGCCACTTGCAGCTTTCCTGAATCTGGGAATTCCCTTCAAAGCATCTGTTACTTAGTCCTTCAGATGCTGTCCATTGTTTCAAAGTATTTTTAAGGTTGTTGTGGCGTTAAGTACATTCAATTCCAGAGATTTCGACTTATCTTCTTACACCAGTATCAGTTTTGACATTTCCTTCATCAATTCAACTTGTTTAGAACGTTTAGATTTGTCTGCTTTCAGCTGTTTTTCTACAAGGAGGACTTCATCAAGCTTAGACTTGGAGGTTTTCATTGTTCACAGGCCGCCTCCAAACTCTGTGCTTCCATTGGGCATGTCTCAAAGCTGGTATCTTATAAAGATGACACAAAGGCATCATGCTCTTTTTCTACAAGGCTAACTTTTTCAAGAGGCTGACATTTTCTTTAATGAGTCCAGAAAGTTCTGTAGCAAGGTTTGTTTCTTTTCGCATAAAGTCGGCTTCTAACTGAATGAAAAATTTTCCACTAAAGTAATAGAATTGAAAAAAGTCCAGTAATCGCTCCATACAGCATCAGTTCCCACTGAAAATCACAGGGCTTTGGTCTCATTTCTTCAGGGTTTGTTGTCACAACCCTGAAAAAGTCCTTTACGACCAGCCCCAATTACGACTGAGTGACAGCCTTGGGCCCATTCATGGCTCCGAGGCTGCTCTGACTGTTCCCAAGGCCAGGCTGCACATCAAAAGGCAAAAAATGCTCAGAGTTCTGCCTGGAACCCCAAGGCTTACTTCACAGCTGAAGCAGACCACTGTGGAGCTGGGTGTGGGGGGGGTTAAAGGGGTGTTTCATATCGAGTTCACTCCCCCCACAGCACAGGAGTTTTTCCCTTTCCTTAAACTTTACATGGTATTGGCCAGATATTGGCCAAAAGGTCCCACTCTCTTTTATAAAATGGAAAATGATTTCTCAGATATCTTAAAGCTCATCTCATCACCCTCATTGATAGAACTGAAGTACATACTGCAGGACGTCCCAGAGGTGATAAGTGGTCAAGGAAACACCTCTCCTTCCCCGGAAACCTTTGTCTGCACCTGAGAGACATCACTGCACTCAGGCAATTTCAAAAAGGCTATAAAAACACAATCCCCAACTTGACCCATGGGACCACCTGTTCCATGCTCCTTGCATTCCCCACTATGCAGTCTTTCTCTTCTCTTCTCTAGAAGGACAGTCTTTTTGACAAATTTTGTTGTAGTCCGCCTGTGCTTTCATTGTCAGAGTGGGATCAAGAACCCTGAACCTCTGAAGTTCCTGTGCAGGTCATCTGTGCATCATATTTGGTGACCACGAAGGGACAAGCCATCACTTGAAGTCGGTGTAGATTGTGCCAAACTGGAAAAGGCTCCCTAGGAATGTGACCATGATTTCCTAGCACTCCGGTGGAGTCTGTTTTACAGGAGAGCTCCCCTACCATGGCCTAGCTACACTGGAATGCTCAGGCCAACCTGTTCTCTCTCTGCATTGGAAAACTGAGGAAAAGCTCCGAGCCAATAATGGCTGTAAGGCAGGCAATCTGAGACAACTCACATGCCCACTGGGAGCTTAAGCCAGACTGCCAATGCTACGTGGGTGGAGCCAGACTGTCATGCACAGCTGCTTTTTTCCCTCCCCTTTAATGCTAACACTACCTCTCTTCAAGACCTGACCCACTTAAGAGGAGCTCTGAAAACAGCCAGTGGAAAGGAAAGTTTCTCTTCAAGCTATAAAAGGTGTTCTGGCTGGGACACTTCCCAGTGTCAACCGAAGGCTGGAGATGCAACTACCTGAACCACTGTGAGGCTGCAAAGGTGGCTAAGTCTCGGACCCTCCCAGCATTGTCCATGGCAAACAGACAATCCGATCTCTTATGCTTCCTTCATGGTTTCCCTGGCCTGAGAGTGGAGGTCACCCATTGCTTCCAGTGCTCCAGTACTGCCCTTGAGCAGGATCGACTTGGACAGCAGTGGTAACCAATGTTACCTCATGAATTAAGCCTGGAAACTCTCTTTTCCCCCAAGCCTCTGCCTCTCTTTCCCTTTTCCCAAGTAGTTGAGGATGAGTGTCCCCCTCCCTCCTTTGCTCTAAACAGCAGTGAGCTTCCTTCTTCAGAGAGTTTGGGAAAAATCCCTGCAGGCACCAGAAAGTGCAAATCTGTAATTTAGGCTTAACTGTCTTTGTCAAGCATCAGGTTAACTGGTTAAACAGGTTCCACAACCTGCCGTGGGGGGGGAGCAGGGGGGGGAGGAAAAAAAAGTTAATTGGC